CTGAAGAATTCCAAACTCAAAATCCTTTACCCCTTAAGAATTCCAAACTCAAAACACTGTACCCCTGAAGAATTCCAAACTCAAAATCCTTTACCCCTAAAGAATTCCAAACTCAAAACACTGTACCCCTGAAGAATTCCAAACTCAAAATCCTTTACCCCTTAAAAATTCCAAACTCAAAACACTGTACCCCTGAAGAATTCCAAGCTCAAAACACTGTACCCCTGAAGAATTCCAAACTCAAAACATTTTACCCCTGAAGAGTTCCAAGCTCAAGACACTCTACCCCTGAAGAATTCTAGGTATCCTCGACAGGGGGGGGGTACGGATATTAAATGGAATAGCCCAATTCGCCGTTAAGTTGCAAATAATTCTGTTCGAGAACGCAATAATTGGGCATTTCGCAACCAGGGCAATTTCAGGGCAGTTTTGACCTTGTTGTTGGGAAATCCACTAGGCCTTCTAGGCTTGCTTCCTCCGCCCCGCCCCAAATCAACCTAGTCCCAGTCTTTTCATGTGAAAAAGCGCTGAATATTAAAAAATATAAATAAGACTAGAAGGCCTAGGTCTAGGCTGTCCGCACACGAGAGAAACTTGCTGAGCTAGCTGCCACGCGAGGAGGTTAGCTCAGCAAGTTGCTCTCGTGTGCGGCAGACTTAAAGCAAGCCATTATATACTGGTAAAATTTATCCGCTTTGTACATTTTCCTTGAATAGATTTTTTTCTTCGAAATTTAATGACTTATTTAATTAATATAAGCGTAATTTAAATTGCATTTTCATACTTATCAGGGTCTTATCGTCCTTACCTTTCTTAGAAATGTTTTTTTCTGCCCACCAATACATAAAGCTCACCAATACATAACAAGAAAATAATAAATGGAAACAAACGCCTGTCCAGCGTACTAATGAAGACTGAACTATTCTACATAATTATGTGCAAGGAATAACTTAACGTATTTTAAAAAGTCTATGATAGTCCAAACGAATTATAATTCAAAGTCTGACTAATTCTGCTGGAGTTTTTTTAAATCAAAACTAAATATTTTTTGTTGAGATTGTAACAGAGATCCTGCTCCGTAAATGAACCAAAGTTACGTTTTCTCTTGCCATTCTTGGACATGAGTACATTCTGTATTTAGAATCGCCAGATGACTGAATCTCCTCTGTAACATAATAAATTCTCGATTTTCTAAAGTAGAAGGGTGGCTCAGCCCCCCCTCCCCCTCCCAGAGTTTGAACAAGGGGGGCTCCACCCTCAAGCGACCCCCACTTCTACAGCACTGACTAGTAGTTGCTTCTTCGTTTCCGTCGTCGGGCTTAAGAGTATCAGTGGTACCAGTATCTGTACCATAAGGAATGGGGACACCCCAGAAGACGCATGCACGCTATTTCGGTCGGCGAATAGAGCCAGTGGTAGGTGGATATCCCAGTCGTCATGATCCTGATTAACATAGGTTGTAACTATCCCTTTCAAAGTCCGGTTTAGTCTCTCTACCTGACCATGGTAAGGTGACGTACGTAACTTCTCTACACCCAGAATTTCAAACACCTTCTTCATAAGGTCTGCCTCAAAGTTCCGTCCCTAGTCCGTTGTCAACTTGGTTGGAACGCCATGGCGAGCAATTATTTCATCCACAAATGTTCTTGCGACCGTCTCTGCTCTCTGGTTTCAAGTCTAGTTTGGTACTGGTACTGCTTCTACCCATTTACTGAAATGGTCGGACATGACTAAGACATACTGGTTTCCTCTAGTAGTAATAGGGAGCTGGGGACCGAGAGTATCCATTGCCCACAGTTCCATTAGTTTTCCGACTTCGATGCTCTTCGTCGGTGCCCTTGCGGTTACTGCAGGTGTCTTACGGCGATTACGGCAATGTAATCACATTGCTCACATTCGGCCACCCACAACTGAACTTCTGAAGCTATACCTGGCCAGTAGTAGTTTTGTTGTAATATTAATCGTTCCACACATCGGTTGATCTCCATGTGTCCTGAGCCAGGATCGTCATATGCAAGTTTTAACAGATCTGTGCGCATTTTCTGAGGGACCACTAAAACTGTTCTCTCTTCTGGTGTACCTTGATCTACACGACGGTGTAGAATTCCGTCCAGCATTATCAGTTGCGTCCATAACTGTCTATAACGTTTCAGCTCACCATTTTGCTTCAACTTTTCCTCACTTTCTGCTTCTCCCTTAGTTTTGTTTAACTGTTCTATGACTTCATATGTGGCTGCTGCCCCGACCCGCATTTCCTCATTCATGCCCTCGTCAACTATCTGGGTAGTTAGTGGTTGCGGGAATTGTGAAAAGGCGTCTGCATTCTCATTCTTACGCCCCGGGCGGTGTGTAATTACGAACTCTCACTCCTGCAATGCCACAATCCAACGTGATAATCTACCTTTCGGTGCATTTAGACCTTGCAACCATGTCAACGACTGATGATCGGTTATCACCTCGAAGGTTTTCCCCAGTAAATATGGTCTCCAATAGTTCACAGTCCACTCTATAGCAAAGCATTCCTTTTCAGTTGTTGAGTAATTCCGTTCTGCAGCCGTTAATGTCCGACTCGCATACGCAACCACATACTCTTCCCCTCCTCGTTTCTGGCTGGGAAAGGACAGCGCCCAGGCCATTGTCGCTAGCATCCGTGTAAACAACAAAAGGTACAGAGAAGTCTGGTAAAGAGAATATCGACGCTGAACATAGATGGCGCTTTAGTTCTTGGAATGCATGGTCACTCTGAAGGTGTACGTCCGGCGAAATTCCTGGCGGGTTTCTTTGGTTAATGTAGGGGCCAAGCTATTTCCGAGAAATTTCTAACAAACTGTCTATAATATGATGCTAGACCAATGAATCCTCACGAAGTAAGGACCTCACGAAGGCAAGTTTGAGTGGTAAAGTTCTGTACGGCTTGTACTTTCACAGGATCAGGCTCTGTTTCCACGGGCAAAAATAATGTGACCCAGGTATTTAACAAATGCCAAATGGCCGTTGTAACAACTCCCGTTGTAACAACTGAATTTCGCCTTTGTAACAACTGCCAAAGTTGCTGCCCAACTGCCAAAACTGCTGCTTAAGAAGTGTACCCCTGTCTCCTTCGCCAATTTTAGGCACAGCATGTGCACGACGTAGTAATACTTCCAAATTATAACCAAAAACTTGGATGTCCTCATCTAATTGTTTTCGCATCCGACCACGGAAACTCATCATCGCAATGTGTTTTCCCATATCATCGCCACCAAAGCCAAAGGCCGTACAGAGCGCTTCGACTAACTTCTGATAGCCGTCTTTTTCCCCCCTCCCTGCCAGGCTCATAAACAGCTAAAGCTTTTCCCGCCAAAAGTGTGGGTCTCTTAAGCATATCATCTTCCTTCCAACCATTAGCCGTAGAACATAACTCGAATTTTCACAGCCAAAGAGTAATATCTCCGTCAGAAAATAACTCTAGTTGCGCGACACTTGTAGCTCTAGTAGCCATCCTGGGAGGGAAGCCGGAAAGTCGATAACTGGGGGGGGGGGGCAGATATTCATATATTCATGTTCTGCATCATTTATTTCCTTTGAAAG